ACATTTATCTCTCATAAAATATCAAACATATTAATATTTTCCACCAAGAAAAGTTTCGAATTTAATGGAACATTTACATGACCTATAAAAGTATAGTATATTTCAACTTCAATTTTCATGAATTGGCCAAAATTCGCCAATTCTAATTTTAACAGATATTAATTAATAAATGATTAAGGATTATAATAAACTAAGTCATTTTAGGGTTAACGAGGGTTAACTATTCGAAAAATGAATTCAAAATCTGAGTATAGATGTGTATAAGAGACAGATCGTACACTTTATACTAGAATTTTTTTTTGGAAATCATTCGATGAAGGTAGCTCGGAAATGAGACTACACCTATTACTAGATAATTTATACAATGAAAACCAGGCTTTAGAAGAAATATTTTACACCTGACTGCAAAACATATTTACAAAAGGCTTGGGAAGCCCGAACAGACTTTTATAAGTAAACAAATTTGAACTGAAGAATTAATAAATGTAAAAATGTAAATACTGTAGAAAACTTGCTTACTACGGTACAGTGGTTGTATGTTATAAAATACCGTATATTTTAAACAAAATTCAGAAAAGTACTAATAATCTTATGTCCTAGTTTTATGTTATTTCTATCATTTAAAAAAATCCTCTCATTTACTTTGTTAAATTTTATGTTAGAGTCTTTGATTTGATTTGTATTATTATGTGCTTTTCATTCTTTTTGTGATTTTGGTTAAGTACATTTTACTGCTGCGAACTATGTTTTGATTTGTATTTTGAATTTCACTTTCTTGTGATATTGGATAAGTACCGGTTCATTGCTTTTTTTTTGGGGGGGGGGGGAGCTTATGTTTTAATTTGTATTACTTGATTTTTTACCTTCTTTCTGTAATAATATTAGTTAAGTAAAATATCAGGAGTGGTGGGTGGGCTGTTTTGATTAATTTCATCATGTATCTTTCTTTCTGTAAAGAATCTTGCAACCTATAAAATGTTTTCAATACTCAAACTGTATCATTACTACTCTGTCCCATAATAACCCTGCATATATTATTATTAGATACTGTAAACATTTTTTTTATTAATCAACTTTAAACTTATTGTTTAATTTCATATTTATTTATGTTCTTTTTTTTTTTGTACTATAACACCTTAATTAAGTTTGTTTTTTTTAATCTTTTTCTCTATAATTTCAAGATCTTATTTCTTTTTTTGTTCATTTTATGGATGCACCACCTTGGTAGGTGTGTGCAACTGATCTGAAATGGAGTGCTAATAATACCATGGAGGTATTATTGAGAAGGAGATCACTCGGCAAAGCTACGCGCACGCAGCGCTATGCAAA